TACCTTGTTTTTCTTTTTGGTTCTGCAAATTATTGCCTGTGGTCCGATTTTATTCGATGTGCACCCTCCCTGTAAAAGTTCTGGTTACGGCCCTGATTATCGTAACCACACTGATTATTAATATTATCAACGTGCAGGTCTGATTTCATCTATGATATCATGGAGCTGATGACGCCGGTACAACAAGGAAACAAATCCAAGACATCCAAGCAACGCCCCACAGTCAGCTCACAGTTTAGGGTAATTTGTGCTTTATGCAAACTTTTTGAAATATTTTTGTTTTAGCTGCTGAAAATGCGTACACTATGGGCCGTGCACGTTTTTATATCTCACCTCTTTTTTTACAGCAATCGTTAGCATCACTTATGACAACACTTGGCCAATCCCATCCCTTCTTTATTCGCTGTATTAAACCCAACCACAGTAAGGTATGTTATATTAACTACCACTAATCATTAGCGCCCACATTCTTTTTCACTTCATTAAATATTAAAGTGTCTATCAAGCCAACAGAATGGCTTTATTTATTCATTTATTTCATTAAATAAGCATGGCATTTAAATAAGTATGGTTTTATTTATTTATTTATTAAATGTACATATATGTTTTTTTTTTCGTTGCCGATATATTCAATATAGAAATCACGAAATGATGACGTCTACCCAGGATTCTTGTAAAAAGTCAAATCATCAAATAGAGAATATCTCTGTGATAATTAGCTGACTGAAACATTTTTATGTTGAATATCTCGGAAATGAAATCAATACGCGCGAAATCGTGAAACACGCCGCGGAAATTTCGTATAACTCAACCACCTCCCTTTTTCACATTTTGTTATCTGTTTGATCCTTTCTTTGCTTGATTTTCAGTCCCCTCAAGTATTCGATCCTCTTCTAGTGCATAGTCAGCTACGATACTCGGGGATGTTAGAGACTGTCAAGATTAGACGAGCTGGTTTTCCTGTCAGGTTGCCGTTCGAAGAGTTTTTATTCAGGTATACAGCCCTTTTTCCCTATTCATTTTAGTCATGGTTGGCTGTGTTCAATACGAGAAGAGTAGAACTCGTGAGATTTTGGAGGGCACGGCACGGCATGCTTTCCCATTGACTACATAGAGTAGTCATTGCTTGACTACTGCAGTTTTATGGAGACTATATTTCAGTCACGGTCACGTATTCACATTAGACGGTGATCTCGTGTCTTCATCATCTTAACAAAGTTCGCTTGGAATTCATCGCAGGCGCAGTATGGATAGCATATTGTTAATGAAATCAGCTTACCAGTTACATTGGTCGAGGGGTCTAAGAGCGCTGCTTGTTCTAGCTTATTCTATAATCTCCACAATTCCAAAAAGTGAGGTTCCTGCTCTACCAATGCGAGGGACAGCCATGTAGCATACAGGTCACCCTTTTCTTTACGGTTCACAAGGAACAGGCTTAGCTCAGTTGGTTAGTGCGCAGCCTACAGAGCTAGAGTTCCACGGTTCAGTCCTCATGATCTCCACGTCTGATTCGACTTCCCTGTTCTGTGTAGCTCTAGCTTTTAATACCCATAATAAGGAGCAGTGATAGTCTGAGGGGGGAGAGTGTGTAACTTCGAGCGCTTTACACCTATTTCAGAAAACGTCGGTCGGAGATCTGAAATCTGCCATCTGAGACTGAATGGTACCCTGCAAAATATATTCAATATCGAACAACGTAGTTTCCTTTTATATTGGAATATGAAGCATGATCTTTGAGTTAGAAATGTGACTTTTCGTATTTTAGTCAGAAAACATAAAAACAAAAAATTCTGTTTAGTCTCATCTCGCCCATCGGTTTATGAAAAAGGTGTATACATGAGCCTCTGGCTCGAGAGAATTGGGCAACCACTCTCTTTTTTAGCTTTTTTACCTTTTTTTTTTTTACACAACGTCTTCCTTATTATCTAGATATAAAGTATTGTACCGAAACAAAAAACTATCAGGGGATCCTAAAGACGACTGCAAGTTTCTCCTCCAAGAATTCGACCCTACGGAGCAACAGTGGAAGATCGGTACGAGTAAAGTGTTTTTGAAGGACCAGCTGGAGTACACCATGGAGAAGAAACGTAATGCTGAGCTTGCTGTTGCTGCCATGATGATCAAGAAAAAGATTATGGGATATATTGTCAGGAAGCGCTACTTGAAGATACGAAATGATATCATTAGGATACAGAAACTAGCCAAGGTAAGAAGACAAGAAATATTCCTATAAATTCGTTTTCAGTTCTATCAGAACAAATTTATTATGTCATCCAATATGGCTAGTGGCTGAAACTCGTGCATTAAGATGGCAGCATTTTGAAGAAGTATATACCGAATGAAAGAGTAAGGATAGCAATACAGCAGTATTAATGTGGTTAAATGTAATTTAGGCAAAGTTAGACTCGAGGTCAATGACATCTCGCAGTAACCTTGTCCCGACGCATACCGCTATCTACCGCTGTCAACGCATTTATTACCTCACGCTATCGTTGATCGACTCAGCTAGCAAATTGTTTATAGCATGTCGCAATCTATTCTAGTCGATCTCTGTGGCCTGTTTGAGATATGGATCATAGCTATCATTACGAAATACGATAAGACGCTACACACGTGATCACGCTAGCTTAATGCCAACCACGCAAAGCTTTACTCGCCATCGCTATCGCTAGCACTCGCTATACGACGCTATTACGCTATTACGCTATTACGTACGCTACAACACGAGTTTTAATTTTCCCGGCCGCCATCCCTACCACTGGTACAGGTAAGTAGAGGTAAGTATTCCATTGACTGATCGCGGTCAATGTGACAGGTGTTCGGTGGGTGGTGACAGGGTTACCATGGTTACCGCTAATTTGTGCCTGGCTCCGCCCATCCCACCGAATATGCACCTAACGCCAAGCTCATCATTAACGATGAGTTTAACGTGTAATATAATGACCATGCTTACATCTACAACACCATATATGACACTTGTTTTGTCCTCCAATATGGCATCATTATGAAACAAATACCATTTCAGAAATTATTTTTATCATTTTTTTTTCCGCCTTTCAGGGTCGATTCTATCGCAAGAAATTCCTCAAGACGAGGAATCATATTATTGTCATTCAAAAGGTACGTCAATCAAAGCATTCTTGCTCCAGGCCTTTTATCTTTACTTGCTAGCCACCATTCTTACTATTCTTTCTTATATAAGAAGGGTGTTAACACGAGAGACGAGGCTATAAGTAATTTATCTGCAGTCTTATGATATAGTGATCAATGAAGCATGATTTGTGTAAGGTTTTTCTCTTTGGTAACAACAGCTAGACCTATGTAATTTGTAAGGATTTTACCTGAACGATTTGCGCTTGGGAAAGGGAGTCTTCATAAAATAGACCATAATTAACATCTTCTGACAAATATATCACTCAAACTTGCTGAAAGTATTTACATAAAAGTTTATGTTCATTTGTTTGTTCCTTTACTTTGTTTAGTTTGAAAGAGGTCGTGTTGCTCGAGCGCTTTTGAAGAAACTTCTTGAGGAAAAGAGAATCGAGGAAGAGAGAAAACGAGAAGAACAGAGAAGAATAGAAGAAGAAAGAAGGAAGTAAGTATGATCTTTCTTGCCATAAACCACCTACAATTACTAAAATGAAACATGTCTTTCGATTTTAAAAAAAATTACGAAGGCTATCCGCAACAGTTTTTAGTTCAGTTCACCTCCACCCAAACTCGTGGAATCTGTTCACCATTGCTAGAATAAGCCTTTTATCTAAGAAATCCCTTGTTAGAAGATTTCATCCTCTTTGGTAACTGGTATAAATTCTTTAAGATTCGTAACTACAGACTACGAAGTACGGACTTACATCGGTCTTAAAAATAGCCAAAAAGACATTAGTTGTCAACACTACTTGAAACTCTTGGACAGCCGGATACGTTACCTTCTTCTCTTGCTTAGAGAGATTTCACGCAGACTACGACTATTAGGGAGGCTTGAACACAGTATGCGATTTCTTTCGAAAACCAAAATAATGGGGGAGGGGGGGAGGGGGTTCAAGATAAGCACGTCGAACAAGGTGTGATGATATAGAGCTCATTTTGGTTTTTTTATAAACCGATCTGTTTACAGGGAAATGGAGAGGCTGGAACAAGAACGCAAGCTAAAAGAATTAGAAGAACTCAAGCGAAAGGTACAGTACTGTGATTAAATCGTATCAATCTATATATGCCCTTCCTGGGGACGCATTACTACCTGAGGTTTTAAAGGTGGTTTTATTGCCCCACTCCCCTCCCTGATTCTGAAAGAAGGATCGAAATAGAACGATAAGGTCTTCTTGAAGAGTAAGGTTTGTTAACTGAATAGTCCAGGAAATGCTCAGTATTTTATAATATGGTCTGTATATGATTGTTCTTCTACAGGCTGAAGAAGAAGCTCGACGAAAAGAAGAAGAAGAAAGAGAACGAAAACGAATCGAAGAAGAACAAAAATTAGCAGATTTGATGAGAGCAAAAGCAATCGAGGAAGCAAGAAGGGTAGAAGAAGAAGCTAAGAGGCTGGCAAAAGAGGAGAAAAGACGCCAAGTAAGTGACATTACGATCATGACGGATGTAGCTATTGAAACATGATGATATTGTAGGCTGACGAGGCGAGCGATTCCACGTGGAATTTTCATGATAGTAAAGTTCATTGGCTGACGAGGGAATTCCAAGTTGAATTTCACGAGAAACTCGATATGATSAGGATATATTAGCAACCCATGATGTCATGTCTCCTTGTCGGGTGTATTCATTGCATGGGATATCTTGGGGGAACTGTACAGTTCTAGTACTATATTTCATTGTGCATCACAAGCAAATGGTGTGTGATGTCAGCAAATCCTTCTCAAAATAGTCAAACTAATGTAACAAAACAATGKGCTTATACTGCTGTGTTTTTTGATCGATCTTTTCATTCTTTGTCGTCTATCAGGAAGAAGAAGAGAAAAAGAGAAGAGAAGAAGAGGAAAGGTATAGATCAAAACAATTGATATTTTACCAGCATCTTTTCTGTTCCTACTTATCCGAGTTATTTTAGTTTTTCTGCCTTCCTCCCGTTTTGATAACCAACAAGTGCTTTAAGTATTTACGTAGTTTGTTGTGTGGAAAGTAGGACGGTAATATTAGATAGTCGATTGGATTTCATGTCTTTTCTTCTTGGGATTGGTCACTGATTTCAGTCGTGATTGTTTCACCGTTATTCGTTTTTYCCCGCCAGACTCAGAGCCGAAGAGGAAGAAAGACAGCGTGAAGAAGAAGAGGGACGAAAGATGGAGGCTGAAGCTGAAGCAGCGGCTCAGATAGCCGAGTTAGACAGACACCTTAAGGTGAGGCCAAATCCATGTACAAAGCTCGTTCAGTCTATAAGGTTTTGACAACAAAAAAATATGAGTCTTGCTTGTCCAAAAACATTTTTTCGAAGTACTTTTATTTGAAATTTGTTTTACCTCATCCTTTCAAAAGTGTTACTACAAACTACATGTATACTGCACGTCTGATTTGGTCCTTCTATATTATAACTGGAGAATGTTTTATCAAACCTTTCGTTTTGTCCGGTATCCTTGCAAAAGATGCGCCTTCATTTTCAAAAGTTCAAAAAGCACGTTGAATGGAATCTATCTCATTGTATATAGCACTATTAGGATAAGGCCATCGTACTCGTACTATGAAATGAGGGCAAAAAAAAAAAGCATAGTAAGGTACCAGTTCTGTCTCATCGTATATATAGCACTATTAGGATAAGACTATCGTATTCGTACTATGAAACAAGGAGATCAAAAAAACATCGAAAAACACCAGTTGTATGCCCTACGGCGAACTGAATCACTGGCGCGGACTTAGTTTGCTATCGTAGAGAGACGTTGAACTAATGAATTGTTTTCCCTCGAATATCGACAAGAATCGGTTTTATATTTTCTTGTAGTACGAAGACAGTGACGAAGAGGAAGATGAAGAAGAGGAGGATACGATAGGACGACCACCAAGCGTTCATGAGATGGAAGAAATCATTAAAGATGGATATCTGATGCTCAGAGGTTTGTACTAACAAACGTTTTGATAGTCAGAATTCGCTAGGACGAGAGATCTAATTGTTTTAGTATAAACAAACTATTCTGACAGCATTAGAAATGACAGAAATAAGCATCCTCACTGATTTCATATATTTCTAACATTAAGATGTTCTTTTCTACCATGGGCAATGAGGAGTAGACCACTAGTATCCTAGCCAATCAGAACGCACGGATTGCAAGGGTAAACTAGTTTGTTTTATCAATTATCTTCATTCACAGGTGGTTTGTTGAGTTTGTGGAAGAAACACTGGTGTGTTCTGAAGGACGAGACTTTTATGTGGTTCCGTGGAAAACAGGTACAACATGTAATGAGGCTCTCAGACAATAGAAAAGTTTTCTCAAATGAACCAAAATCATTGTATGTGGCTTTAGAGCTCGGTTAAGCTGACCTGTGCAGTCTGTATTTTCATTCTCGAGGGTCGGRTCTTTCTTCTTTACAGCAATTGTTTCGCACTGGTGTTTTATGGCGCTAGCTACAACACTAAGAGAACAACACTGATTCATCGTCAAAATGGAACCAGAAAAACTTTCTACACAGATATTTTGCTTAAATGTACTTACTGTATCTGTCTCCAACAGACACATTAACACACTTTCTGTTGTCTGTGCATCCAAAGGATACTAGTTTCATGGGGTATTCTAGCATTTATGTCAAGAGTCCATGCAAAGCAGCTTTATGAGTATTGCAAAACCCTCTTAAAAGATAACTGAATGTTTACTAATTGATTGTTTCTGTATTGTTCAGGACGCATTAAAAAGTGGATGGTTGATGAAAAAAGGTGGAGGAACAGGAACCCTATCGAGGTCAGTGATTACTCGTTTATAAGTGAATCTCTTTGTGTATAGTAATCACCGTCAAGGGTTACACGGTTAACACACACTAGAGGCTGAGGGTTTAATGGTTTGGGTTCTCTTTGCTTTCAGGCGCAACTGGAAGCGTCGTTGGTTTGTGTTAAAGGATGAGACGTTAACGTACTACGAGAATGACCAGGAAGGAGCGAAATCCCTGGGTGTTATCGATATCAGGAAAGCATCGTAAGTATGGGTTACTATTATATGAATATCATTTTTGTTCCATGAACGAATAGGATGGGCATGTAGAAAGGACATTCATTTGATGACAGAAAGTAGCGAGTCTGATTGTAACGAAAATGTGAGAAAGAAATTGGTATGATATATTAGTAACGTTCAGGGACATAGGAAGGGGAGAGAAAATCTATTAATTGAATAAAGTAAAAGTGCATGTGAGGGAGAGAGAGAGAGTGAGTGAATGGAAAGTGAATGAATGACCGAGATAAAGAAGACGCAGCCTATAACCTTCTTGTTTGCTTCTTTGCAGGCGTATCGTTGATGATGGAGTGAAGGAAAATGGCTTCAGTATCGTTACTGAGGGTCGAACGTACCATATCATCGCAGAAACTGTTCATGAATGGAAGTAAGTTCTTTTGCTATTCAGATGAAGATTTATTCGAAAAACGAGCCGGACCACTTTATGGAATTAGTTTTGTCAGCGGCTCGTGATTATTTAGTGTAACCAACGGCTCTAGGCGGATTCGTATCTGAGCGACAAGTTGTATCGAGGTAACTGGACAACAGTAATGATGGTGTAATGTTTTTATTTTGTTTTATATTTTCAGTCAGTGGTACAATATCCTGAACCGTGTCAACAGAGCCACTGATGCACAGCTAAAGGACATGCGCGAAGAATCTGCTAACGTCAAGAATGCTGTGGTAAGCAGGTTACTCTACTCTACTTCCCCCTTTACTAACTCGCTATTTCACTTAACTATTTTTTGTCTTACAAATCAATGCAGAAATCTTTGGACTTTGATATATTTTACGATATATGATCTAATTGTTTGTAGGGCACAATCGATGTGGCGATGATCGAGTCATGTACGGCAGGAGGTGTTGCTAACAAGTGAGTATAGATCTGTATTTGGTGTCACTGAACGACCAACGCACCCATCATCCCACTTATTCCATCACTAACTCATTGACGCACGAAGTGACTGTCTGACTAACAGACAGATTAACCGTCCGACCTTATGACGGACAGGCAAGACAGAGGCGACTGACTGACTGTCTGAATAGACGCACTTGGCAGATCGACAGTAATTGACTGACTGACTGACTGTTATAAAGAAAAGCATTTTTGTATAATGGCGATTGATTTTGTGTGGATTGACGAGTTGATATCACTTGTTTGTAGAGCAAACTGTTTTACTATTATCACCGCCAATCGAGTCATGAATTTCATGACCGAATCAGAAGAGGATCTTAATAGCTGGGTTGAAGGTCAGAAACTATGTTCATCTGATATACTAAATCATTTTCTTTATTACTTAAGTCCCATTCACACGGTACGATTTTTCCACGCTATTGCGCGCAACATGCTGACGACTCGAATTGCTTTGTGCAAATCGACTTACGAATCGTACGTTCTTAGTACGACTGCAAATGGCAGCTAAAACTTGGCGTTAGCATTTGCGCGCGACAGTTGTGGGGAAAAACCGTACTATGTAAAAATCCGCATAGAGCATTTATTTTTGATAAGTGTTTTGGTCAGGTAGAAGGAATGGGTGGAGGGGGAATGGGATTTGAGACAGGGGTACGAAAATATGTAGGCTACAAACTACCAAAGAATGGATTGAAAGAAAGAGTCACTTCAGAAGGGATTTATTGGGGAACTGGAGTAAAACCTACCAAGGACCGGGGTAATTAACGTTATGCACTGCCTTATTCCAGATATAAATAACAGCAAACAGCGTGAGGTCGATGAAGGATTTGCCAACGTGCTGGAGAAAGGTTGGATGGTGAAAGAAGGAGCCGATGATTCCAAGAGAAAACGGTAAGACTTCCATAATATGACAATACGTATAGTCAATATTAACGTGCTTTAAAGATTTTAAGACTATCAGTTCTAGTGAGTGCTGTTTCCTATATAATATCCGCCATTCCTTTCTTTCTCATAAGTCTTTCTCTTTCTTTACAGCTGGTTCGTTTTAACTGGAAATTCACTTGATTACTACAAGTCATTTGTCAAGGGCAGTCCCAAATTCGGCTCGATTATTCTAAACAGGTGAAATATTGAATTTATTTAATTTAATAAACTTTAAAAAATTGGGAAAAGAAAAGAAAATGTTTGGGTGAGGAAAACACAACAGAGCTGGGCTCCAAACAAAGTGTCTCCTATAAATTAAAATGAATTAAAAATATCAAGTGATAAAAAGTACAATATGGAATATAATATATAATAATAATGTATAAATATAATAAATTTATTTATTATATAATTACCAATGAAATTCGAAAAATTGATATCTTCACACGTGATGGCTATTCAAAAATACACGGAAAGAATTGCCTGAAAAAGCCAAAACATACTTCATTGATAATTATATAATAAACAGAATATTACATGGGCGCTTGGAGATACGAAATTTATCTTCTCGTGAGAGATCTTTTCAACACTCGAAGATAAAATTCATATCTCCGCGCGCCCATGTAATATCCTCTATATCTGCAGACGCAATGTGATCTAAATATAATATAAAATATTAATAATATTAAATCACTCAGCAACAGCAACCATTAGGAGTCAATAGGTTACGAGAAGAGCAGCATTTTTAAATGGCATATAGATGTCCAGGTGTTAAATCGATTTACATCATAAAAGTTAGTAAGAGCACTAAAGTAGTGGTTAGTAAGATGGAATTTAAAACTCTTAAGTGAGTTACAGTTACGTAAAGAAACAGACAAGTTGTTCCAAAGCTTAGGTAATCGGTTAAAGTAGCTAGTTTGAAAAAGTTTAGTGCGGCACTTAATAATTAGCAAGTCTAGAGCAGAACTGTTACGAGTGATGCGAGTCGGAGCCTTACTAGGAAAGTATTGATGAACAGGAATACTAACAAGACCTAAGCGACATTTGAAGTAGAAAAGGATGTCTTTGACTTCATGATGATAAGAAATAGGCAATAAATGTAACTTTTGCAATCTATCTCTGTAGGATAATGGGTCATCATGAATGATCCGACCTGGACTACCTCAGGGTAGCTTTCTATCCCATTTATACTCTTATAGTTAGTTCACTAACTACTCCCTAACATAATGTCGTTATTATTCTGTTTTAGCTTGTGCTCAGTCGTTCCGCCAGAAGAAAAAGAAACAGGTACTTAAATATACTTATCTTGAAGAAGGGTAGGATATAAGGGTCCTAGATACCGTTGAACTTGTCATAAGCGACCATCTTGGGGGTATGAGGGTCCTAGATACAGGTGGTCCTGTCATAAGCGACCATCTTGGGGGTACGATGGTCCTAGATACAGGTGGCCCTGGTGGCCCTGTCATAAGTGACCATCTTGGGGGTATGAGGGTCCTAGATACAGGTGGTCCTGTCATAAGTGACCATCTTGGGGGTACGATGGTCCTAGATACAGGTGGCCCTGGTGGCCCTGTCATAAGCGACCATCTTGGGGTGAGAAGTGGTCTCCCATCATCAGTTATCATGTGGTAGGGAAATTAACATGTTTATTCAGTTATAGGGTTGGTTGGATATAAGAATCGGATGAAGGTGGATTGTAGCTCTAGACCCAACACAAAATACCTACGCATTATTGTTTCTTTGCAAACAGGTGACTGGACTTTCATCGTTAATGGCCGAAAACGCTCCTACGTACTACACGTCAAGCAACAAGAAGAAGCCAACCGATGGGCGAGTGCCATACAAGAGGTATATAGATAGTAGAGTAGTGTATATGGTACACTGATACCAACACATCGAGTGCCATACAAGGGGTATATAGATAGTAGAGTAGTGTATATGG